ATTACAAATTCTTTATATATTTTTGTTTGTTTGTTTGGAATTAAGCACAAAGCTACACAAGGGGCTATCTGTGTTCTGCCCACCACGGGTTTCTAGCGTTGTAAGTCCACAGACATACCGCTGCGCTACTGGGGGGGCTCTTTATATATAATCAATCCAGAAATACGAGAAACTCCCAATTTGTCTTATAATTTCCGAGAACGTTGTACGCATATTTACTAGTTTATTCATTGTATTAAATTAAGTTTTTTTACTTCTAGATGAATTGTTTACAACCTTATATTAAAGGTTGTTCACGATCTACAGTAACAATCTACATATCCAGTTATCTTATGCTCCAGCCATCCCTGTGGTTTGTGTGTTGCAACCTTCTTGTTGCAATTCAGTCATATGTAGTGATTTAGAAGTTTAGATGGCGCCAGGATTTTTTGACGAGAAATTTTCTTATCCCATGTCTATAAAACCATGCAAGGTACTTATTTTTAGCATTTCAAAGGAAACTATGCCTGTACTGTGAACGTACTAGTAAAGCAAGGAGTGATTCGAGCAAGGGAAAAATAGAATACTCCACGAGCAGCTACCAGTCACACATCGGAGGTAGTGAAACGGTTAAATAGTTTATTCTAGAACCCCTAGAACACAACGATTTATTGCAACAAAAGTAAAAATTTATCTTTAATCTGTAAACAGAATAATTTACGCGGATTTAGGTCTGCAAAAACAACTCAAGATCCGTGTTCACAAGCTTCTCTCAAATCTCATGGCCAAACGGAAAATCCGTTGTTAAAAACTGTTCGAACAGTATTTAATACATGACAAATGTATGTATGTTGTCATTCACTTTGAACGAAATATATGTCTACTTAAATGTCTGAAAATTTCCGGACAATTTATTGTCGTCTCATAATCCTAGGATAAACATAGTACACAGTCACTTGATGTTAGCAATAACAGGAACTAATATGTGGAAGGATAGGTGTAGCAATTTCCAACTGGTGCAGTGAAAAAGAAAAGACACTGCGCTAAGTTGAAATGAAAAATAAAACACTATATCGAAAGCAGATAAGAAAGGTCTGATCACCTAACGTAGATAGGATATTGCATTGTTGTAAGGAGTTTAGATGAGATAGGTCGTACTTAAATAAATAGAATATAAGCGAAAATAAGCTGCACTTTAAGGTAAACTGGTTGTTGTTGATAAATGATAGAAAACAGTAAGATAAGATCTTACAGCCAAGCCTTGTCTCATCCATGTAAAAAAAAGAAGAAACTAATTTGTTTGAAAACACCAAAATTGCGTTTTAAATTCAATTTTTGTTTGTAGCTGATCAATCTGAAATTACATCTGGCCCATGTGACATGCGTAAAGAAACCCCGCATACACAAATTAATGTAGGACACAACAAAACTTACTCATGAAACAGTAAATAGTTCCTGTGATCTGATCATGCTACAGACAAACAACGCCTAAGACAGAATTCAGCACATGAGCTCGACTAAATTTAATATGTTTTATATCAGCATTGAAAAACGTTGATTTTTTTTGTAAATATGAAATACGCACCGATAGATAAGTAAGGTAGATAACACTTGCTTTCCACAATCTTCTTGCGGACGATACATGATTTCAGAAATGATATAGAGCATGTCGCAAAAGTCTTTTCTCAATGGGTTTTATGGTATTTGAGGTTGTAACTTTAATTGTAAGATAAACAAACATCCCCAAAATCGAGAAAAACTACCTAGGTGAATACTGGGTTATATTGGTTAACGTGCTGATACCACTATACCTCGGGGTAATGACATCTTCGTATTGGAAGCCAGTAAAGTAAGGTTCAACCAAGACAAAGTGTTCAACCACACGTTCAAGTTCAACACGCCAGTTCCACTGCAAGATCAAGTGTAATCAGGGATTCATACCATTCGCAGACATCTCTCTATAACGTTTGAGGAAGGTTACTGCATACATATCATCCAAAAGATTTTGGGGTAATGATGTTGTTTCAGTTAACATCGTTCATTTACGTATGTATGTGAGATATACGTACTTATACTACTGTTTACAGAGACGTGTTCTTTGGTAACAATATCAGGAAGAATACCTAGGCCTTACAGCCCTTCTTTCACTACCATGATGTTATGTACTATTACTCTATGGTGCAAAACCTATTGTGGAGGTTTCTTCACAATACACTAAGGCCAAGATGGTTTCCCCTTCCTCCTCCTTACATACTTTCCAAAGTTCGACAGCTGTGCGCAGACGACGACTTCCGAAGACCCATTTGAGCAACCCAAGGGTCCCTTATATTTCGCAGTTGTTCTATATAGCTGGTTTATATTTTTTGAATTTTTTTGTCCAGAACAATTTGGATTTATTTATGAGTGATTCTGATACAAGAGGGTAGCGTAGTTTCATTAGAATTTTGCGAGGTGTGAATTTTGTTTACATTCAACCCTCGTGGGTATTTTCTGATTTATATGAGGTTAGATAATATTTAAGTTCTGTTATCTAAATTTTTGTAATTTTTTTCTTACCTTTGTAATTGGTATTGCAGGGTTATTAGTATGTAATTGGTATTGTGGGGTTACTACTATGTAATTGGTATTGTGGGGTTACTACTATGTAATTGGTATTGCGGAGTTACTACTATGCAATTGATATTGCAGAGTTACTACTATGTAATTGGTATTGCGGAGTTACTACTATGTAATTGGTATTGCGGAGTTACTATTATGTAATTGGTATTGCGGAGTTACTACTATGTAATTGGTATTGCGGAGTTACTATTATGTAATTGGTATTGTGGGGTTATCAGTATGTAATTGGCATTGTGGGGTTATTAGTATGTAATTGGTATTGTGGGGTTACTACTATGTAATTGGTATTGTGGGGTTATTAGTATGTAATTGGTATTGCGGGGTTATTAGTATGTAATTGGTATTGCGGGGTTATTACTATGTAATTGGTATTGTGGGTTACTACTATGTAATTGATATTGCGGGGTTATTACTATGTAATTGGTATTGCGGGGTTATTACTATGTAATTGGTATTGCGGGGTTATTAGTATGTAATTGGTATTG